CGCCACGAGCCGCCGCGCGCGCAGCCGCCGCGCCGCGAAGAGCAGCGGCAGCACGAACATCATCACCAACGTCAGCGCCCCGGGTCCCCACTCGCGCGCGGTCCGCACAGCGCGGAGCCGCGCTACGTACGCCCCGGGTAGCCCCTCGCGCAACGCCCCGCCGATCAGGAGACGCATGTACCGCCGCGAGGGCCGTACCGCGCTGCGTAGCCCGCCCGGCACCTGCGCTTGCGGGTTGGTCACCAGCGTGCGCGCCGCCACCGTGCGCGCCGCCACCGTGCGCGGGGAACCGCCCCCGCTGGGCGTGCGCACTACCTCCACGGGTACTTCCACCGCCCAGTACCCGTCCGTCTCGGGCTCGTTGGTCACGCCCTCGCTTGCTAGTAGCGCCGCCCAGCTCTGCGCCGTGCGTAGACGGTACAATAGGCCGTATACCTCGTCGCCCGCCGCTCGCTCGATCGACCCCATGCACGGCTCCGCCGGCGGCGCACCGCGCATGTTGAAGCACAGCCGGTAGTCACGTACGCGCCCCACCTCCACAGAGTCGTACTCGATCGGCCCAGACCCCGCCGCCCCGCGCGTCCGCAGCTTCTCGCGCGACATGTTGCTCCCGTAGCAAAAGTACAGGTACCCGCCCCCCGCCGAGCTCATGCCCGCCGCGGTTAGTGCGTCCAGCGGCAGCGGCGTCATCGGCGCGGCGGCGGTGGCGGCGGCGGTGGCGGCGGTGGCGGCGGTGGCGGTGTGTGGCGTCATGGCGCGGAGCGGGGCGAGGCGGCGAGAGACGCGGGGCAGCGGTGGGGGGAGCAGCGGTGGGGAGAGGAATGCGGAGAAGGCCGCGGCCGGGGCGAGGGACATGGTATATATATTGTGGAAGCGGGGAGGCGGGATGCGATGGCAGTACGGGAGCTGGTCAGAGCGAGGATGAGGAAATGTTGTGATGGCAGGAGCAAGGTGGCCAGGTCGGCAGGTCGTAATTGCTGCTCCGGTGCTCTACGAAACTGGGCTGCAATTGGATGGTCGACCATTCATAGGTACCCTTGGGGTAGCGCCAGCGCAAGCGGCAAGCGGCAGGGAGAGAAGGTAACATCGATGCCTGCGGCGTGTGCGGCTACGGATGGCCGCCTGCGGATGGCCGCCCAACGCGCCACGTGTACCTCACCCGCACACGTGTCCCGTGAATTACACTTCATTTACAGTCATACCCAATCCGGATTGCTGACAATGCATCCGGATCTGCCTCTGCGGGTACAGTACCGCACATCCGCACAGTGTCCGCATGGCCCGCCCACACGCTGCCTTGGCACCCCCCCCTCCCCCGCTGCTCTCAAGGGTGAATTTTTCGAAATGTTTGGCCCGTCCGACGAGGCGACAGCATAGGCGGCGGCGGCGGCGGCGGCGGCGGCGGCGGCGGTGCGTTTTTGGGGTCATACCGCGCCGGGTACACACTTGATCCTTACCGAGCCCGCCGTTCATAATCCCCTCTTCAGGCACTTTTTCCGCCCATCAAACAGGCAATACACATTTCCGGCCTGTCCAACAAACCACGCCACCAAGAGCCCTCTGACCCACCCCCGGCTCAAAACTTTCGCTTCGGCCAGCGCCACCCGATAATCCCCCTCCCCTTCCCCCATCCGCCCGCACACCCCCACGTCGCGCCATGGGTTCGCTGAAGAGCGGCAAGAAGAAGAGCAAATCGTCCGCGGAGAGGGACGTGCACAGCGTCAGCAAGACGAAGAAGAAGAAGGACAAGCACGCCCCGTCCGCGGTCGTCGACGCCGTGGGGGCCGCCACCCCGCTGAAGGATACCCCGTCGAAGAAGGCGGAGAAGAAGAAGAAGATGAAGAGCAAGAGCAAGAGCAAGAAGGCCACCCCGCCGCCGCCGCCGCCGCCGCCCAAGGAGGAGTCGTCGGACGAGAGCAGCAGCTCGGACAGCGACTCGTCCTCCGAGGAGGAGGAGCACGCCCCCGCGAAGAAGGCCAAGACCGCCGTATCGAAGAAGGCTCCCGCTGCTGAGAAGGACGACTCGACCTCCTCTAGTGACGATGACTCTAGTGAGGAGAGTGACGCCCCCGCGCCGAAGAGTAATGGCGCCGCGGAAAAGCTGAAGAAGGGCGCCCAGAAGAGAAAGGATTCCTCTGATAGCTCAAGTGAGGATGCCAGCTCAAGTGAGGATGACAGCTCGGACGACGAGAACACCGTAGCCAAGGGGAAGCCCAAGTCCAAGGGGAAGACTGCTCCCAAAGCGAAAGAAAGTGACAGCTCTAGCGACGAGTCGAGTAGTCGTAGTAGTAGCGACGACAGCGACAATGACGCCGACGAGAAGAAGGTTGCAGACAAGGTCAAGGAGAATGACGACCCCAAGGACAGTGATGACGACAGCAGCAGCGGCTCCAGCAGTGACAGCGACTCTGACGACGATGCCGACTCGAAAGCGGAGGTCGTCGCAAACGGCAAGGCTTCGAATGGCAACGCCGCCTCTGATTCGAGCTCCGACGACAGCGACGATGACGACAGTTCTGACGATGACGAAGACGAGGATGAGGGCAAGAAAAAGCCATTGACTCCCATGAGCGTGGAGAAGGGCAAGCTTCACGACGACAAAATGTTGGCTCAAGTCGGACAGAAGCGCGACGCTCCCTCTGCTGAAAATACCCCCCAGCCTCACAAACGGCATCAAGCTGCTGCCGGTTCAGAGGAAGAAGTTCGCGTCTTTGTCGGAAACATTCCCTGGACAATTACGGAGGATGACCTTGCGGAAACTTTGGGCTCATGCGGTGAACTCACTGACATCTACCTCCCCCGTGACCGGGAGACGGAGAGGCTGCGTGGTTTCGGTTTTGTTTCATTTTCAGAGCCGTCCGGCGCTCAGGCCGCCTGTGAAATGGACGGCGTTATGTGCAAGGGTAGGCCACTCAACATTAACCCGGCTGGTTCCAAACCGAGCGGCGGCAATAGCCGAGGTGGCTTTGGAGGTAGAGGAGGTCGCGGTGGTGGACGTGGCGGTGGGCGCGGGGGGTATGGTGATGGCGGTGGCTTTGGCGGCCGTGGTGGTGGTGGCTTCGGTGATCGTGGAGGTGGCTATGGCGGCCGTGGAGGTGGCTTTGGCGGCCGCGGTGGTGGTGGCTTTGGCGGCCGTGGTGGTGGTGGTGGTGGCTTTGGCGGCCGTGATGGTGGTGGTGGTGGATTCGGCGGCCGTGGTGGTGGATTCGGTGGTCGAGGTGGCGGCCGAGGTGGTCGGGGTGGTGGTTTTGGAAGCCGTGGGGGAGGATTTGGTGGTAGTGGTGGAAAGAAGACAACTTTCGGCGATGATAGCGACTAGGGGAAGGTTTTTCCTATCTTCTACAAGTACATAGACCGTGATATGTTTGTGCGCTTTTCGCAGAAGGCACATTTGAGTTTATTGAATGTTTTCCATGTCCAACGAGCCATTGTGAATTGCGTTTTCGGGATGTGCTCCGGACTGTTGATTGTCGGGTACGACGGAAACAGTGTCCATGAACCACTGCCGATTGTCAAAGTACTGATCTCTAACTTGGTAGCCAGCTGTGTGCAGCATTTCACTGATGAGGTCAGGTGTGTATTTGTGGGAACACTCCATGTGTATCCTCTCAAATTGTTTAAACATGAAATGATGACTGGTCGTAGAGCCTTTGCTACCTGATTCCGTAGTCGCCATCGAGATACAATGTGCCTCGGTGCAGACAAGGAAACTCTCCATGGCTCCGATTTCAGGGTTGTAGACGGCGACATGCTCAAATTTTTTCAAATCAAAATTTGTGCCGAGCTCTTTGTTCATCCGAATGAGAAGATTCAAGTTGAATTCCCTCGTTACCCCGGCAGAGTCAGAGTATGCTTTCTGCATCACTCGTGCATCCTTGCGCAAGTCTGTCCCAAGCAACAGGACGTCGCGCGGTTTCATCTGCGCCCTGAGCTTTTGCAGGAAATGAGAAGCCTGTTGACTAGAGAAATTACCAATGCTTGATCCAATGAAAGCAACAACATTTTCTCGGGACGGGTGCTGTAAGAAGATGTATCTCAAGCATTCAAGATAGTTCCCAATAAGCCCGTGTACATTGAGGACGTTTTTAGGAAATGCTTTATCCATGGAACGGAAAAGGTTTGCCATGGCTTTTCGGGATATGTCGATGGGTATGTACTCAAATTTAACCCTGTGCGAGATAAGAGCTTTCAAGAGTAACCTCGTCTTTCGTCCATCGCCTGCTCCTAGCTCAACAATGTTGATGATTTCATTCCTTTTGGCGTTTCGAGGACAAAAGTGGGTTGTGACCATGTCGTTTGCATAACTTTCAAAGATTTCTCGCTCCGACTCGGTCAGATAGTACTCTTCCAGATCAGTTATTTTGGCATATAGTTCTAGAACAGATGCTCAATTGACGAGGAGGTAGCGAAATGAGAAAAGTCAGTCTCAAACCCCTTCGCAGCTCGGGAAGAAGGAAGTAGCTAGGCTCGTTGAGAAGGCCTGGTAGTAACAGAGGGCTGGAAAAGCAAGGTCTACAATATGAACGACTCACCACTTCCACGGTCATCGTAAAAATAGACGGAGGACAGAGCCTTAGTAGGGTTTGTCAAGCCAGCAATCACGTGTTCCCTGAATTTGAGCTTTTCTGTGGTGTCATCTTGCTCCCCGACCACAGTCAATCGAAAACCGGTACCATCATCAGTTGAGCTGCTGGGAACTTTCATTTTGCTGTGCACACTGCACAGTATCGCTCCAACGCTCCTTCGAGGGCATTGAAACACGGAAGAGAACTACGGTCACATTAGAGGGGCAGGTGCAGTGATAAATAGGCGAAGGAGGGACTCGTGACGTGCCGTTTTACTTTGCAACCAATAATTCTGAGGTGCAAATGCCCGACCAATCTTTGACCAGACACGCGGGTTGTGGCTTTTCTCCGTTTCCAAGTACCCTTTTTCGATCTCTCCTCTACGAGGCTACGTAGTTGAGGGATATTTTTAGGGAAAATTGCATTTTTACTGTAGAGGGAGATTTTATACTGTAGTCCGAGATTCTATTTGCGTACGCGTACGCAAAAAAAAAAAAAAATCTCTCTCTTTTAGAGAAGCGCACGCGTACGGCCCGGCGGAATCCGGGCCGGACGCGTGGGCGCTTCTGGAAGGAATTTCGTAGAAATAAAAGAGAGAGGGTGACGGGCGCTGCGGGGAAAAAGGGGGGGAGAGGACACTCGGCCGACCCTCACCACGGAACGGCGCACTCCCCAAAACCGCCTCCCCCATTTCACCGACAACAGTAGTGTCAATCCACATAGAGACTCACTCTACTCGCGGCATCGCGCATGCTGCAAATAAATCAGTTACGGTACGCTACGATACACGGTTCAGCGCAGCTTTATCCATATTGTCTCGCTTGCCGAAGCATGTCGTGGACATCAGATATCCAGGTTAAGTACAGTATGATAGAGATGATTCCAACTGTACCAACTTGGCGTGCACACGTTTCCACTTCATAATACAATAATCAGGATCCGCTGCAGTTTTCGGAGGATGGTGCATGGACGGTGTGGGGTTTCACCAGTCTCTCGAGTCTTAAGTTAAGACTCGAGAGACTGGTTAAGACTCTTAACCTTTCGATGGCCCCGCCCCGACCGTCTCTAATTTCTGTTTGCAGGATCCTCGAAAGTACAGATGCAGGGAGCACCGGAGCGGCACTCTTGATTCAATTATTGCAGAAATGCAGCTCATGGGGGAGCTACGGCAATTAGCTGCTCCTCACGGTGACATTGTACCAGCAATAGACGGATAACCTGCACTCAAGGGTCCACACTCGAGAATGGACTTTTCTATTCGATCAAGGCGGCTTTTTCAAGTTAGAGATGTTCAGTACAGTACAGTAGTTGAATTGTCGAGAAGAAAACGAGGGGCACCAGCTAGAACGAATTTTTGCCTCAGGCGGGATTGAGGCCTCATACACTATCTAATATTGTTTCAACAATCGGATGATATTTTAAACAGGCGTTTTGGTTTCGATGATATCAACAAAAAACGTTTTGATGTTCTTTAAAAAAGCTTCTTCTTTAGGTATTCTCAAAAAGCCTGGAAAGGACGTGCAGATCTCACCAAGCTCCACCCTTCCACAGCGCAGAAGTCAACTGCGGTGGCGAGAGTATCTTTTTCCATTTTGTTCAGCTAGCACAAGTCGAGAAAAATTAAGTTGAAAAGTGACCTCATATGAGGCCATTTGTCACCTAGACACTAGATGAATCCTAAAGTCGATGCAAGGTGCCTGACGCATATGCGCCATACAAAAAATTGGCTATCCGTTCTGTAAATATACCTCTGTTCCCAATACTTTCTGTAGAACCGCCAATCAACGCCTCATGTGTGGATTTCACTTCCAGTAAGAATAGCAGCATTGTTCGTTCTCACAGCTACAGTATTGGCTCTTTATGTATCCCAGAAGACCTTCGTAGAAGCGATTATTCGTCTCTGGATGATGAGATTATCATAACCTTCCTTCTCTTTCATACAGTATGAGGTGATTAGCATGCCAGTGCGTTGACTGGCGTTTATACAGTACTTCTACAGTGAACCCTCGATATCTGAAATATGGATGGTTGCTTCCTTCCGCATTCAATTAAAGTGCATATTCAGTTTCCAAGGATGTTTCATATACAGCCCAAATATGTAACAATCCCATAAGTTTTAACCAAAATATTGAGTAATGCGGGTCTGCTTGGCTTGGTTTGCGCGTTCGAGGTGTGTCCATTTTCGATTGCCCAGGAAAACTGGAAATTGAACCACATTTATAATGAATAAAGTTATCATAGCTCAGTTTTGTCTCATAGAATGCTCTTGTATGAGGCCTGTTATGATTAAGATGTGCTTGTGGTATTCAGTTAGGCCATATTCATGAATACCTCATATGTGACCTGCAATCAACGCTCCGGAGCTCGTTCCGAGCAATGGCATGCACATATCGCGGATATTCACGTAACAAGGATTCAGATAGCGAGGGTTCACTGTACCAAGAAGCGCCCGTCCTTCTTTTCTTCATTGCCGTCGTGCAGCACACTGTTCCCCGCGCATCGCGTGATGCATGCATTGTTAAAATTAGTAGGCATGCGTCCAGCAAAGGCTGACATTTGCTATCTCGTTCCAGACAATAGTGTTGCCCTTTAGGCCGGGAACATCGATATAGCTGCATGCTACCTTTGAGTTCTCAAAATGCGTTCAACATACTTCCTTAAAAACGACCGGGCAGTACGTGCGGTTCTCAGTGCGATTTGGCCAGCCCCTTGCCGCAGAGCACTTCCGCGGCGATATATTTTCCATTCTTTCGGGCAAGCATGTCTTCGATAGGCGACTGAAATTTTGTGGCACAAGAAGCTATACGTCACCCAGACATTGTCTTTTTGAAGTGGTTATTACGCGTATGTTGAATACTCTTTCCAGGTAAGCTAATCAAAGCATTACAGATAATGGGCTACATCGCCATGCTGTACATGTCGCAGACATGTACAAAACAATTAAAGCTCTCTCATGCTCCTGTCTACTGTTGCTTTATTCCAGTGGTTGCTGAAAAGCAAAGTGTGAAAGTATGCTGTACTTCTCTGTTTACTGATTTTCGATTGTGGCCCGAACAGATCAGTGATGCTGAAAAGTCATCTCTTTCCGTGGGGACGGCATTGTGAATCCTAAACTTCAGAGATGGCACATCCTTGCGATACCTATCAACTCTGAAACGCCTTCGCGGCAGTTTGAATGATTTTCTACCGAGCAACTTGTGCGATGGCACCGATGACTGCTATTCTGGTCGGTAGAAATGTATGCGAATGTCTCAAAGTCTTTCTTATGAGGGACCGAAGACAGGCTTCCATCAACTATCAATTTGTACAAATATATTCTTGTTGGTTAAGAATGATGCTCGCTTTTAAAAACTCTTGGTCAAACACCCGAACATCAGTTCTTCTTCTCGAACAGGAGACCTTTGCCTTATTCCAGCTTGTCGTTGATAACCTGTATGTTTCCTCTGTAAACGTATTTCATTAGCCACAGGACTGCTAGCTCTATTATCTTTGACAAGCTCACAAAACGAGAAGAACACCCTGCTACTCAAAGACCCTGCTACTCCTAGTACTTTCCCCAATATAATATGCACGACAATTTTGGGCAAGATTCAATAACAACTTGCCTAATTGATCAACAATACTTTTCAATCATTGAGGTTGTCGAAGTTGAGGCATTCATTTTGGACAAAAAGGATTCCCAAAACATGTCTCATTTTATAGTCTATTCTCGCTCGTAAAACGATAAAGCATAATTTACCACATGAGAAACATGCCACCCCGTTGTTTTGAGAGTCTGACGCTATCTATTCTCTATTTTGCATTCTATCGAGAGTATACCAAACGGTGTTGATGGATGAACACAAGGGGAGTGTTCACCAAGTAGCATCCCTGAAGCGCAAATAAAGCGTGCCAGATAGCTCGCCTATCGACAGCTTGGGCTTATGCCCTTTTACGAGCAAGGAATGCAACGACTTAAAACTGGCAAAGAGAAATGTGAAAGCACAAAAGCGGACCGTTCAAATTTTTGGATAGTCTTTGCGAGAGCGAAATCCACTCTAGAGCCACAACGGTCTATCTTTATGCCGGCAGGACAACAGCGAACTTAAAGCTTTGTTCCCCATGCTTTCTCTCAACATGGCCACATCGTGGACCAATTCGTCGTTATCTTGCGGGGGGCGAAGAAGAGAGCCTAGTCGAAGGGAGAGCGATGTCGTGAGGTTGCCCGCGTCGCCCCATGAGAAATTCTATGTATTTACACAGCTCCAGATGTGTTTCATACAGGAATAGCCATAGTGTGATAGGGAGTGACAGCGTGTATAAAATTGACGATTTGTCTTCAAGATCTTGCCAAGAGCTTCATCCATGATAATGATGTCGCAGCTTCCAATGGCGACGACTGAGGTCAAGGGGATGTGCACCTGTTTCATTTACTCTGCACATGCCTGGAATACAAGCGCTGGGGCAGTTTCTATTGTGGCTATGAGGCGTAAAATAAGCTCATAACGAAGAAGCGTTACAAACCCACTTTGATCCATTCAAAACATCGTGTCGCCCAAATTAGTACAAGCTTCATGAGAAAATGGAACGCAAGTATTCGTTCACGCTCTTCGACCACGTCAAGATGCGTGAAAGGGCACCTGGCGGTGCACTGTTGGAAAATACTCGATTTGCTTCAAGACCCATAACTCTCGTGCGACGAAGCAATGAGTTGTCTGTTACGTTATTACTTGCTGGTGCCTAGAACCGAGGAAAACGAATATGATAAGCAGTGATACTGAATGATATTGGTATGGCTTCTCGGATGGAACGATAATATAGAGGCGCTCCACCCGAGAATAAGATAGGCTCTTTGCCATGCACAGGCGATAAATTTTCTTGTGTTGCGCCACTTGCAGCAATCTTATCAACGCAGATAAGAACTTGACAAATGCTCAGCCAAAGATAAATCGAAATGATTCCATGAAGCGGGAATCATTTCCGTAAGTTTCGGCTGTCATTCCCTGCCTTCCGCACCGCATCTTGGATTTCCTCTCGCAATGCGCTTGCAAAATCATTTGCCTGTTGTTTGAGTTGTTGAGATTCCTAATCAAAGACGAGGCCAGGCACATGCGCAACGAATGTTAGAGATATGATCAGAAATAAGATGCCCGCAATGTATTGCAATGTATTGCCTGCTTGTTCGCGAAATGTGCTCGGATGACTTACTCTTCTGAATTGTGCCAGGCTCTCTGATTCGGATATTGTTTTTGCAGCCTCCGTCGCATTCTTTGAAAGGTCTGATGCTTTTTGAGACGAACGCACTGCGAAACGTTGAAATGTCGGGTTGTTTGCAAGTCCTTTCACAATGACCTCGTTCGCAAGCCACTGCGCAATTCGACCAAATAAACCCCCCGGTCCGACCATTTCCTACAAGAAGGTGGTAGTAGACGCGCCTGTGATGCTCGGCTAGACTTCTGCTGGTACAGTAGACTGCTCGAGGAGTTCTCCTGTTGTGAAGGGTGATGGCGTGGGCGGCCGCCGCAGTGCCGGAGTTTTTGTCGTAAAACCAAGCACGGATTGTGCCAATGGGGTGCGGACGGGAAAATATTCATGACTTTGGTGCTTTCTGGAGGGCCGCTCCTGATCAGTCTATAGGAGCCAATCACAAGACGGAAAACAATCCCTAAACTTATGCTACGCCTACAACTTGAAGATACTGTAATGCTCCTTGCCCGGTACAGTATGTACTTTGAAAGTACTACTTTCTGGCAATGGTGAAGACAGCTACAGATAAGCGAGGTTATCAAGCACACAGTCACATTCGGTATAACAGCGTCGTAGCCTCCAAATTCTGTGCCTGCCGAGTTATGCCACTCTAGTGCCCAAGAATCAGTTGCGGAGCTCTCGAAGAACGTTTCATTCATGTAAGTCCTTCGATGCAGTGCGTTACCATATTTGAGGCATGAGCTTCTTAGGCAAATAAAAAGCCGAGTTCTTGACGCATTGCTTCATAACAAGTCATGGTCTCTTTAGTAATCGCGCATGCGTTCGTCCCTTTCATGTGTTCGTCGGCGAAATGGTGGTGAAAAAGCTACAAATCGTACTCGCCGCACTTCTTTTACGTCATTCTGATCTGGTAATCACCACTGATCAACTTGTAACGTACCCACGGCGCAGCGTTGTACCCTGATTTCTCAACGACCTTTAGAAACCGTACTTGCAAGCCGGAGATTGTAAAATATGGAACTTCAAATTCGACCGTGATCGGTCTCTTAGTAGAATTCTCTCGTTCTTGATCTTTCCCGATGCTCGGCAACGAAAAGTGACCGCGCATCACAGCATCACGACCTGCTTTGAATTGCTTAAGCGACCATACCACCGCATCCTTGTCTGGGGCATACTTAGCCTTCCCAGAAGTGCATTTGAAGGAGGGTGCCACAACATCCGGGAGCACGGGGACGAAAATTTTCACGTTGTTCGCTATTGCTCTCGGCTTCAGCTGTGTCCGTGCCTTCACAACATAGTCCACTCTAGTTGCACGCATTTCAATCACCGCATCGATCCATATTGGAGGTTTAACTTGTGTGTTTAGCCGATAGCTCATGAGCTCAAACATGCCATCTGGCGGAATAAATGAGATCGTACGGTCATTTTCGAATTTCGCCAGCCGCACGCATTGATGAAACTTGATGTCTTCTAAATCTACCGATTTGCCTCGATGTTCTCCACCGTTTGCTGCATTCGCCTCAAATTGCAGTCTATCATTCAGCCCAAGTTTGAGATTTGGCATCCCACTGAGGTATGATTTCATCATTAGCTTTCCAACAATTTCGGAGCGAAGAAGATTCCCGGTCCCGGAGACTAAGATGTTCACCTTTTCAATGACATCAAGAAAAACTTCGTTCCTTGTATGTTTAACACCTTCGTTTCTCCACGACACTGCGTTTGTCGCAGCTATCGGGAGGGATGACGCTGATTCAGAAACACGGTAGTCCTGTGTGATGTACTTTCGCAGTATTTTAGATTCTGATATCTGAGGGAAGCCAAAGTCCATCATTTCGTCCAAGAGCTCGTAGATGATCACGAAATTGTCTCGTATTGATTCCTCATGGACATCCTTGAAGTAATCAGTGAAAACCTGAATGAGTTTATACAAAAACGTTATGATCATCGTTGCATTTGAGTTCTTTCTCGTTACCGCGACGAGGAAGATGTTCGCATGACGAATATGGATGAATGTTACGCCCTTCTCTTCCACGCGAAGGAACGGGGTTATTTTTGAGTCCTGCAAACAGTTTTCAGAACGGAACAGTGACCATACTCGGTGTTAGTGGCCAGTCGGCGGACTGTGAAATCGGATTCGCTTCCCGCATGCGTGCTTGCTGTTTGAGATAAGACAAAGGTTGTGACGAAAACGCACATCTTCCGCATGAATAACTTTCGACTTGAATTCTGAAACAATATCAATCGGCACATCCCCTCTGAAGTTCCTGCTAATTAGTGTCTGAAGATAATCCTCGCAGAGACTCGGTGGTGTCAGCGGATTCTAAGTTGAACTCCTTACGCACAAAATGCTCGTATCCCATCTTCCACAACGAATTATGGTGCTTACCTTGCCGCGTGAATCTAAAATGAAAATTGCTGAGGCCTATGTGTGTGCAGAGATGGACAAACAGTGCGCAATGGTGCCACCCACAAGTGTTAGTGATCGACAAACCATGTCACCATTATGCCAGCAATCGCAAAGTGACAAACTTACTACCATGACGGGCCGTAATCGCAATAGAGCCTGAAGAGTTTCTGTCTGAGCTTCAAGTCAAGATCTTCTGGAGGACGGCGACGCAATGGCGGTAGAACCCGGCCTTTCTGTTGAAGTCGAAATGAAGACGGAGGAGCTAATTGTGCACTTAATCAAGATGATGCCCACGGCAAAGACGAACGAGGGCAGTGCTATGTTCGTCGAGTTACTAGAGCAAATTGTAAGTGATATGAGCGGGGGGGCGACAGTGCGTAGTGTAGCGGGTTTCTGCTGTAATTCTCCGACAAAGCTGTGGATGAAGACGTTTTTTCTGATTTTTTTTATTGCATCACGTGCACATCAACGCACGATACAGTACCCAAGGGTATAGCATTTACTGGGCAAAAAACTGTACTTTTCTATGCTATTAGACTGGCATAGTGAATGTTTCGATGCTACCGCCGCTCGTGCATCATTCCTCTGGCGAACTCAAAGCAAGGGGCGACATGGGTTAAAAGGTGGAAGAGTCTAAGTAGTGATGCGACTAGAGCACCGAACTTTGTTTCTCCGAGTGCTCTTATGAAGCTTGAGACTCTTGCTTCAACCCTATGACGCTTGAAACTCTTGCTTCAACCCTACATAAGCGGAGCGCGCAAATCGGTGTTCACTTCGTCAGAGCACTGAACCGCTTGAGCCTACAGGAATTATCTTTCAACAAAGTCACGATTTTAGATCTGCAAAACCAGGCAGACCCGCAGCCTAAATATGAAGCCAACTAGAGTTGAACTCAAGATATATGAACACAGTTGGCAAGCTAGCATGGAGATGTCAGTTTACAAGAACTCACTAGCTCAGGCTGTCCCACATACACTCGTGCAAGTGTTGCACTACACTACGTTCCTTTTCTGATTGATGATGTATCGGAACGCCTGCAAAAGCACATTTCGCTCTTCGTGAATCTCTTTCTGAAGAAGCATCTTCAATAGACTCGGCCGTCTCGGCGTGGTAGACACATTCCTATTCGACTTTTTCCCATTTCTCCTTCCTCTCTGCCTCTTTTTTGCGACTCCACGCTCTCTTTGACGTGATGCAACACTCTTAGTGTCCTTCTTCCCCACTGGCTGAGCCTTAATAGACTGCGTTTTCTTATCCGTCTCATCAATCTCCCCGTCACTACTACCATACTCTGCCGCGAGCATAGTCAACGAGTTATCAGCAACCCTAGCTCTTCTCTTCGCCTCTCCCCTCATCTGTGCCCCGCCTTGCTCGCGTTTCTTCTTTTCCGCTAGCTTCCGGGCTACGTTTGCGCGAGACGGCCAGTTCTGTTTCCGTGCCGCCACCCATCTATCGATCTCCGCTTGCGATTCGCCAGGTAAAGATGCTTGCAACTTGGCTAAGATTTCTTTCGACATGGTCATCTCCTTTGCCGGCCAGTCAGACTTTCTTACCTTGTTCGCTTTCGCATTCTTGTTTTGGCGCTCTGCAGGAATCTTCGGACGCTCGGGGCGTACCGGCGGTCGTTCACTTAAGTCATTGGGTCTTCGTCTCTTGTGTGCCCCTTGAGTCGGGACTGGCCCCATGTTTCTCGGCGTTGGCATCGCCACTTGATGCTGTTGCCAACACATTCCATGTGGGTTCGACGGCCAAGGGATAGAAGACTGATACGGAATTGGAGCCGGCGGATTGCAAAACGGCGGTGGCGGTGGAGCATGGCCATATGGAAAGGACCATGCCGGTGGAGGAGGCGGCGGATGATGACCAGGAGCAGGAAATGGTGGAGGTAGAGGCTGTTGCGGAGACAGCATTGGCGGCGGGAGACCTTGCCCATGCCATGACCAGCTCATGGCAACGCAGAGGAAGTGCGGGCGTGTGGAAAACGGCCTGCTTTTGAAACCCCTCCTCGCAGCGACTTCTAGTCTTTCTCAGGATGTCGGAGTGCGATATGCTACGTTCCCGATACATGCTTGCTTCCGTCACTACGCCGCCGCCATCAACCACATTCTGGATAGGGACGCACATTCACACGTGTCACATTACTGTATGATAGAAAGTGTACAGCAAATACGCCACGTGGCAATCATTATCATACAATAAGTCTTATTTTTCTAAAACTTTTCAGGACTCGAGGAGACGTGGGCAGGTACCAACCCGCGATTTCATTAAATCATGTTTTTGCGCGCAATTGCGCGCAAAAACTGCCAGATAATGCTGCAAAATGAAAAAATCACCACTTCGGCCTTCTTCAAGTGACCCACCGATAATCGCGATCAACCATCCAAATCGAGATCCCCCATGCCTTCCTAGGGTCCCTGTAGCCCATCTCCATCATGGAGATGTAACGTGTAAGCGTGGCTATCATTGTCTAAAGTCGTTTCTTCATGAAGAATCATGAAGTTTCTTAGTTTCTGCATGAATAAACAAGCAAAAAGCAAAAATGAAAATACAACCCGAAATCGCGGGTACCAACATGGTCTGCCAAGATCATCCTATCCTCCTCAACATACAATATGCATACAGTGCCTCCTACGATATAGAGCTATAGCGTGACATACCTCTAGCTATGGCACTATTGGGGGGATGGCACTATATAAAGGAGGCTCAAATACATATATGAGACAATGGGGAAACCATGGCACATTTGGGATTCTTAATTCCATTTAGGGGGTTCACATCACAGATAAATGAAATTTGGCGTCACAAATTTAATAAATAGAAGATCGTGGTCGATATTTCAGATCGTATTGGCAGATGGTCAACAGTTATTCCATATTGGCAATTAATCAACATAATATCAACATAAAAGCTATTTCGAGCACAGAACGCTTCGTTTAATCTTTATCGGTTGTCATCACACGACAGTCTATGTGGAACAAGTGTTCATTCCATTTCAATGGGCAGAAGTGTCACATAACCTATATTTACAATGCTTTCAGTGTGTATTCACTTCCAGTGCTTTTCGAAATGTTACACAGAGGGGAAACAATTGGCAGCTACAGGACATTACCAGCTTACATCGGTCATTGATACACATAATCAGTGATAAAAATGTGAAATGAGTTCACAATCCCACTCACTAATGCGGAATGGTGGTGACATCTGCCCTATCACCGTCCGAATTTCACCGTCGCCGTCCGAATTTTACAGTCATCGTCTGATTTTCACCCCTGCCGTCCGATATTCACGACCGCCGTCCACGCATTCCGACCGCATTATTATTTACTGCGCGACCAATCAGGCCTCCATGCGCCCTTGTGCGTTCTTGAACAATGGCCGAAACGCCTTTCAAGGCCGGCGTCGTCCCAAGGATACGCCGGACGGCTTCTTCCCGCGCCGTACGAATCGCTACGCCAACCATACGGTCTCCAGAGTCTCCGCATGGCGGTTCTGCAGGCGACCATTACCTCGCGGAGCTTGAGATTCAGCTCACCCAATCTGAGTCCTCGGATGAAGGGTTCCACGTCCCATGTTCTGCTCCGAAGCCTGCACCATGTGAAAACTCAGGCCTCAGCCCGAGAAGTGCGAACGCAAAGCTGGATGCGCGCAGAAAAGCGCTCAATCGAGCGTCGCAGGCAAAGTATCGAAGAAAGCGCGGCGAGCATGTGGCCGCTGCGAACGGAGACGCCGACAAGAAGTTCACCATCCGTGCCTTCACTATGGTGAATTCGTCCAGAGGTGGAGCGGTGCACTACATCCAGTCTCGGGACGCCTACATGTCGAAAGCTGAGGTTATTCATCGCTCCCGGGAAGTCGCTGAGTACTTTGCGCTAACCCTTCGCTTACCGACCAACACACGGTTTGAGGTCAAAGCTGTAGCCGACATTCGCCACGGCGTAGACGAAAAACAGGCCTCCTCGTCATGGCCTCTTTTGATATGAAGGCGGAGTCTTGGATCATCCGCAAGTGTGTCATCTCTGGTGAGATGGGGGACTCGCCAATGACTACAAATGGCATGAGGGAGCAAGGATGGCGTAGAGGTGCAGCGCGTACAGCATATACTGATCAAGTTCTCGCTTTTCACTGTAAATATGTCGTCAAAAGCGACCCGGCGATCTCTGATAGCTTACTTCGCGCCGTATGTGAAGTTCGCATCTCATATACCACCCGATCAGTGGTCGAGAGTGCGAAGGATTGGATACGTTTTAGCAAATGGCACTCCAGACGACAATATGTCTATGCTATCGGCATTACAGATGGAGATGCGAGCACTCGGTCACACTCTCGAGTACACCACTTTCGGTGGCAACGGCATGAAAGCCGTGATACTTTCTGTAAGGAAAGCGGAGTATGATCGCCTACACAAGAAGGCATCCAGAATACCAGCCGCGCATCGCAATGAAGCTCACACTGCGGATCTTCTTCCCTGGAAAGAGTCCAGAAAGCAATTTTTGGACACACATGCCAATTTATTGTCACTTATTTCCAATCCTGGTCGATTGTACGTAGATTATCTCGCGTTTGCTTTTTCTTTCACGAAAAGGCAAGCCCCATCCTTGCTGACCCTTGTCGAAGCAGACGCATGCTTCGGGAAGCGCAACCTTGACGCGTACCAGTTGTTTACTGTCGTTGGAATCAGCTCAGACTTCAATGTGGTTCCGATGGCGTACATTTATATAAGCGGCAACGAAAGCGAAGAGACCTGGACTCGCGCTAGGGGTTTTGCGCGGAAAGAATTTCCGAACTTGGGAAGGCTTACAACCGTAGTGAGCGATGGCGATAAGGGGATCGTGGCTGGCCTGCGCAATATCTTCACAGTTTCGACGCAGCCGTTTCACGTAGCCTGCGCTCATCACCGCGCTGGAAATCTTTGCAAGCACGGCAAAGAGTGCTCGAAGATGTTTCATAAGCTCCTGAGAGCCCTACAGTTGCTTCTCTTGACAACATCTCCAGCTCAGTGGCATTTTCTAGCCTGTCTACTGCAGCTCAAGCAGCATTGAGAAGATTACCTGTTGCTCATCAATATCCAGCGGCGGCTGTGGCGCTTGGTGCTACCTTGTACGGAAAGGAAGCTTCTCAAGGTGTGGAATCTAACAACGCAGCCATGATGCTAGCTCGCTGCTATGATCCCCTTCTCAGTATTATCTGGCAAGGATCGCGGGACAATCGCCGTTTTCACGAGATCTCTCAAAAAGCTCACGCTCAAGACCACTACCTACCCCCTCGCGTGAAAGCCCGTCTCCTCGCAGTCAGTCCCACTGGGGAGGTTCAGCCAGTGCAAGCATCATTTACCATCACGCACCAAGCTTTCAACGTCGTATGTGAAGGCAATGTGGTGTACCGTGTTCACTTGCGAATTCCAATTAAGGGTCATGCCGACAAGAGCCGCTGGCCAGTGGAAAAGTATCCATGCACGTGCGGTGTCCCAAGCATAGGTCACATGCCGTGCGGGCACATGCTTGCAGTCGCATTCAGTATGAGCATTTCGTCAACATATCTGGTACCAACCGAACTGACTACGGGGCACTGGCGCGCACAGTTTCCAGCTGAAGAGCTGGCCATAGTGCCGACATTGTCCGATGTTGTAGGATCTGCAACCGCGAGGAATAACGCACTCCACGTACCTGTCACAGCGCCGCCGAAGCGTGGACGACCAAACAACAAGCGAAAGCGCTCAGCGATTGAGAAGGTAACGAGAAACTTGCGCACGAACGCAGGGAATTAAAGCATGTCCCCCCGCCCCTATCGTAGTACGTTGCTGTGTGCGCCCAGAACAGTATGTTCCACTGTTTCTGGGCAACATGCTGCTCATAGCATATCTGAACCTTGCTGCGACCAGCGGTCACTCTCTGGTAAACAAAACTTTTCTTCTTGTCCAATTCAACTTGTCCCCATGATATCACTCTTCCCCTCCAACAACCTCCTTATCACAGCAAGGGCCGCCGCAATCCCCGCTTCCAGCACGAAAATCTCGATGCACCTCTACGCCACCAAGGTCAAGCCTTAGTCCCTCACGATTCGCCACGACTGCACCCCACATGCACGCATTGCGTGAATCCGAATGATCATCTGCAGTGGTTTGGCAAACCACTGCAGATGATCATTAGGATTGTGCGCAGCGTAACGCTCACCATATCTTGCTCTATGAACGCACAGCGAAGGAAGGCACGCGAGTAGTGCAGCGTGTTGGCGTCGCCGCACACCCAGCAGCGTCAGAACCACAGCGCTGGGCCTGGTCCACGCTCCAGAGCGCGGTCGAAGCAGTTGAGCACGTGCCCCGAAGCTGGGTCTACTGCCTCTCTCGTGGCGGCTCTCCCGCGTACAGCTACGCGGGCGCAAAGCTGGCCACCTCTACACCGGTGGCTTGGACGGCGATGACGGCGATGCTGGTGGCGTGCGCGGTTGCGTCCGCGCCGCCGTGGACGTACATAGACATGCCTGGGGCGGAGCGGTGTGTTAGCCTGGCATCGAGCAGGTGGTCCGCGCGATGACAGGTGCGATGCACTGTTTTGGCGCGCGCCGTCACGATTGCAGCGAAAGACGAACTTCGAAGGCGTGGCGCAGGTATGGCTGAGGGGACGTTCCACGATGCGTGAGTAAATCAAAGACTGAAGGGTGACGGCGTCAAGAGATTGACGCCAACCTGAAAGCACTAAAAGGGCGCAGCGGCGGTATTTCCTGGAGATTGTTTCATATTGTTCGCTGATCACCTTTTCTTCTTTTCTGATCACAGTAACAGCAATCTCCGATTTTCGCCACCCGAATAGTAACTAAACCATTTGCCATTGTGTGCGAGCTCCCTTTTCTTTCTGTCATATCATACGAGCTATGTGCTCTTTCTGCCATTTCTTCCGAGCTAGATTTTGTCTTTGCCGTTGTTTGCGAGCTATGTTCTCTTTTTGCCATTGTACATACTATCACCTCCGTTTCCCAATGCGGTGAATCACTACCTGCGTCTCTCAATATCATTTCAGACACTAGCACTGTTTGGCATTTACTTTGGATGCGCCCCTTTTCCCAATCTTGAGCCAAACTCGACGTTCATCTGCAGTTTCAGTTATTCATTACACCTAAATGAAGATAAATCCCCCAGTGTTCATCCATGTCCATTTTACTCTCCATTATGACGACCCTTTCCAGAAAGTCCCTACATATATTTGGGGACAAAGCACACTGCTAACACAAACACAACAAAGCCTGTATAACACAACTAAATAACTTCATCCTTTGAGTACTGAACCATGCCGGATGATACACGTGTGAGCTTATGATAACCTGTGCCAGAAGGTGAGCCATAGCACTATATAGAGGGAAGCACTACTGAAGTAGGCACTATTGAGCGACCCCCCCTGTACAGTAATCCCCGGTATAAGAATACGCACTGTATTCTCGAATCACCTTGTAATTTTGCGGTTACTTTTAGGCAGGTCACACCTGTGCGCGCGAGGTCACCCACGCGACGACGGCGAGCGGGGTCTGTACTTTACGGTCCTCGCCACCTGCCTTCTACCGCGCTGACCCCTCGGCAGTCAATCGCTTCTTTCCCTCCCTTCCCATCCCGTCGCAACTCCCGGCGGCCTCCAGCCACCTCGGCTTCTGTGGTGGTGGTGGTGGTGGATATCTCTACCTGGTAACACCTGCATCTCTGCATTAGAATTTTTACGTTTCTCTCCATTAAATAAACAAAATGTGTCAACAGGCAAAACATGGGCCAGCCGGTATCTAGCGAGAAGCGCCGCGATTACGATCGGATTCAGAGGGCCGTATTCTAATAAGTGGTGTATTGCTATGTTTGGGGACGTTCTCATGTTTCTACTGCGCCTCCGGTGTACTGTACTGCCAAAGAATGTAGTAATTCGCGTCTGAGCCATCCCACCGATCCTCTTCGATCTCAAACGTCCCTGCAGCACCCGCAAAGGGCCGAGAGCAACCCAACTCACACGAACTCACGTTGTAGCAGCAACTTTGAAACTGCCGGAGATTGAGATGGATTGATATTCTTATATCAGTTCTTTTTTGTGCGCAATACATGGCTGGGATGACCGAAAATGGTAGGTGTAAGCTTCGTTGTTCGCAATGTCGTATTCTTGTATGTTGTATGCCGGGGACAGGCGATTTTGAGCTGGAATCGCACTTCCCGAAACGGGAGTTGCATATCATATTCTTGTACAATATAGTGTTTACGCAAACCAATATGGTAAATTGATTTTGTTTTTTTGGCAATGCCTGTCCACGTGGCAAGCCCATTTGCGAAATTCGCAAATCAAGAGGGGCAAACAAATGTGAATTATGACGAGTTTGTGAAGTCGTTTCACGAACTGTATTGGCGGGAAACCGCATCTTGACTACTACGGCAAACGAATCACAACAGCAAAAACGCAGCACACCCCACAACCCACCGCCACACCGATCATGGCAAACGTTTTGGAAGAGCTGCCCGTCGAAGAGGGCAGCCCAACTATCACGCAAGTGGCACCAGGATCCCAAACCGTAGTTTTGAGTGCCGCTCCTCGGTCAGCATCAAAACCAGGCCGCAAATCGAAGTTTACGAGCAACGAAGACCTCATAACTGCTCAAGAGGTATACGCGGCTGAGGCGCACGTTGCACCCCATGGCGAGACGCTGGCACGTTTTGAAGCTGCTGCTGTCAAGGCAAACTCCAATCCCAACTTCGCGCACCAGTCAACAGGTAAACACATTCAAGATCGTTTCAAGAAACTGGTGGAGCAGTTTGTGAAGCGAGATGCAAAAGATAGGGTGCGTTCTGGTGTTGGAGGCGAGAGAGGTCAGCTGGATGAGCTCCTTGCAGATATTGTCGAGGCGAAGAAAGATGTGGAAGCAAAGAAGGATGGGGATATGAAAGAACGTATGGAACAGGAGCAAAAAAAGGTTGCTGCGGGTCAAGAGCTCGTCTTGAATGCGTTACGTGGGAAGCGTCGTCGTCAAGAGCGAGAGAGTTCTGACGATGAAAGTCCGCCCAAAACACGCCGTGCAGCCGTAGGAGATCGGATGCAAGCAATCAGCGTGGCGCTTCGCGAATCTGAAACTGCTCGATTCGATCTAGAGCAACAGAAGCTTGCTTTTGCACGCGAAACTGCTGAGGGCGAAGCAACTCAGAGAGATGCAGACCGTCAAGAACGCGGGGAG